CCCCAAAACCCCAAAACCCCAAAACCCCAAAACCCCTCATTCAGAATCTCCTATTTAATATCTGGAAGTAATTTATATCAAAAATGAATACAGGGGAGTCTAGGAATTTAAGAAGATCTAACATCAGGAAGATCAAAGATCTTCAAAAAAGTAACCTCACATCCATCAAGAAGAGTTTCTGAGCCCATACCTTCGAAAGAGATCATAAAGTAAGCAAAATAAAACAGAATGCTCCACTGTTTATGAGATTTCTTGATTGGGTTATCAAAGGTTTATGAAGTTTGGGAATATAACTTACCAACAAATTTAATGCTTTATGTTGTGAGATATTTGCCATAAGTGAAGTGAGCGAGGAATATAGGTTGGAAATTTTTGGTATTGATGACTAGTCATCATCCTTAGAGCCAGAGGAGTTCAAAGAAGGATCTGTAGTGTTGATAATTAGTTAGCATAAGGAAATATCACCAAAGCTTTTGACTATTTATCAGCTGTAAAAATCTTTCTTAATCCAAAGCATCCAAATGGTTCACTTGGATAAAGAATCGTCCTTAAAATCTTTGATGATGTCCTTTGTTGCTCTGATTTATCATCTATAAATTATAGTACTCCAAATCATTATCATATCAATAAGCGATCATCTGAAGCATAGTATTCAAAAGACTTCTAAATTCTTAAGTAGAGCCATTAGCCTAGTTTAGCACGCAATTTTTTTATTAATAATAAGTCTTACTTAGTCTCATCGATAATTCCAGTGTTAAACAGCCATTATATAAAATTACGACTTTAAAAGCTAGTCCTTGGCTCTAACCATAAAACTTTAAGAGTCCTGAGGTATAGTTCGAGATAAAATTTTGTCGTGAATAGGATTGTTTTATATCAGGTTTACCTAGACTCTTACCTAACCTTCTTCATAGTTGAAAATTGAAACGAAGGGCTAACCTACTTCTCGGTCTACTTTTAAACAAACTGCCCCATTAATACAAAAGACCCTTCATGAATTCATCTAATTTGGATAACATCGTCACTATATCCATGCTTAGCATCCTTTATACATTATTTATTCTGACTGGATTCTATCATAAGATTACACTCCTTGCTAGCATTGGTTGCTGTACATTTCGACATATTGATTCAATCATGCAAATATTACAGTTCAATTAGTCTATTTCATTGATTATGACTTCATTGTTTCGTGAATCCATTGGTACTTTCTGCTTCAAAACAGATTCGGAGATTTTTCTATGGTCACCACAAATTTACTGTATAATAAAGACTCAGGTAACTTTCTTTCCAACTTATTTATAATTATTAAGAAGGGTCAGAGAGCTTAAACAAGACTCCTATTCTGTTGTATAGCCGAAAACCATGATTTTAAACCAGATTCGCCTCCCTAATTTGTTCTTTAAGAGCTTTAAGTACGCATAACTTTTCACCTAAAAATGAGGTTTACTGGTCTAAAAATCACTAAGTTTGATATATCATTATTATTAAATATAGTGCTCTTTCTTTTGAGAACTTGCACTCTCAGCATGAAGATGAGATGCCCAAAATTCGGTTAAAGTTTCATTCCCTTGTTGTTGATTTTTTATGTAATAATCCTTCTTTTTCAACTCAGAAGAAGAAATCGAATTATTTTGGGCTAAGAGTTCGTCCATTTCAATAAATTTTGCTGAGAGATTTGTTAGAAGAACTTGGGTAAAATTTTGGTATTAGCTGCTTATGATCATGATTAAAGCTCTTTAGAATCAAGACTTAATATCATAACTGAATTAATTACTATTATATGAAGATTTCTATTTTTTGCTTTAGGATGATAAGGAGAGAATAGGGATGACTGTTGACAACACCATGAAGCCTCCAATTGGCATCAAATCTCTCCAAAAGATCCAAAAATATGATCTAAAATCTGGAGAAAACCAAAGGAAAAGAGATATCTGTTCTTTGCTAAATGTAAGAAATTATCGCAGTCTTCTAAAATGTCAATTTGCACAAATTCTATATCTACATTAGATAGAGCTATTCTTATAAATTTCATAACTAAAATGAGTTCTTTTAGCTATAAAATTCTAATCATAATTCTTAAATAGGACAGGAAAAGGACTCCTCAGAATCGTATACCTCAGATGTCAGTTCCAAAGGTAGTGTTATATAAAATAACTAAATTTCGATTCCTATTAGTTTAAATTTCGACTCAAAATAACACATGATGGTTAACAAAATCTTACATATAGAACTTTAGCAAGATGCCTCATATTAGAGATGCTTCAAGAAACAGGATTAAAGAGTTAAATAGCGATTTTATTTTTACTAAATCAAGACAAAGGCCAAGTAAGTTTTATGCTTGTTATATGCCAAATTTTGAATTATCTGATTTGATTATTTCTCCTACATTCTGAATTCAGAATGAACAAGGACTCACTTCTTATAGATAAAATTGCGGTCTCCTCTTTAGAAGGCCCAATTAATGCAAGTAAGTACTCATCTTGGTTTGTTCTCTAAAGCTATATAAGAACTGTTATAAAAAGAAATGGAACTAAAGAAGAGTAAGTTAGATGAATAATTCGGTTTATTTTCAGTAACTCCAATTTCTCTTCAGACGTTTTCTTACCCTTTCCTCTAGATACAGTTCGAAAGAAGTCATCGAATCAATTGTAGCCATCAAGATTGCGATCATTAGGAAGGCATACAGAGTGTTCAAGTAAATTTTAAGGCTCTTTATTTTTGTATCAATGAGCGGAAAGAACTTCTGCTGATTTAAATCCAAAAACTTCTTCGAAAATTTCTAAGCAAAAACTTCACCTTGATATAGACAGTACGCGAGAGACTATAGTATAAAGAGGTTTTGAAGGTATGCTCTTTCTTCTTGACACTTTAGAATAAAGAACTGTAAGTTCAAAAATATCTACAAAATTCTGACAAAAGGGAAATTAAGGATATACGCTAAGCCATTCCGCAAAAGATTGAGCGTCAATAAGTTCTCAAAGTAAGCCAAAGAGGTCTGACCACCCCCTGTGGGCTTCTAGAACTTTCTTTAGAATTCTCAAAATTTACTTAAAACCCTCTCTCATATTGAATCTCCCTTTCCTCAAAAGTTATTTAAAAATACTCAGAAAGCACTTTTATCCTGAAGAGAGCTGAAATCTTGGTTAAAAAAAGTCGAGGCTTCTCTTATGTATCATTCTCGTTCCTCTAAAGATTCTGAAATATTTTCAAAGTGTTTTAATATGAAAAATTCTTCATAAAATTTAAGCTTGAATCATAAGTAATAATTTACGAATATTGGTGATTTCAGATACTAACCACTTATTTTGGTCAACTTCTCCTTTTAGAAGAGAGCTAACTTTCACGCAGGATAATGTTAGTCTAGAGGGTTAAGATTAATAGGGGCGATAAGAAATAATATGGCCTCTAATCTTGATTTTAGACACAGAATGATTAGGCTGAATGATAAGTTGGCTAGAAGTCTTGAAGAGCATCCAAGGGAAAGCTGGAAGAACAGAGAGACATATTTTGGACTTGAGGCTCCTTCAAAAGCAAAACTCTCTCTACAAATAATGAAAGGGATAAATTCACAAGTAAGTCTTTTGGAACTATTTAAACCACTTTATTAAAATCTTTTGTACAATAGAGCTCAAATAAGAATTTAAGTCTGAAATCATTAGATGAATTTTGCTAAAATTGCATCATTAGCTGAGTCTCTTTGCTTTCGATAGAATGCTTTTCATAAATGATCACAAAATAGTGATTCATAGTTTACTTATAATTAGGAAGTAAATATTAGTGTTTATTTAGCACTCTCTAATTCAAAAACTGTATAAATATCATTCTAAATAGACCCCTCTGCGAGAAAAGGCAAATTTTACCACAATCCCACTTCAAAGTTTCAGCATCCCTAAGTCAGGCCAAGATGTAAAGACTTTATACTAATCTATAGGAAAGAAGATATGCTAAAAAGAAGGTGATTAAGCTAAAGAAGATCATTAAAAAGGTACTATCTCCTTTTAACTTCCTCTAACCCCTCTTTCTCCCTTCTGTGCCTCCCAGTGTCCTCTTGACCCCTCATAACGCCTAAATTCTTCACTTCTTAACCCTATTTCCCACTCAAAATCCCACAAACGGTGGCCGATTGTTCCTCCAAAACTATATGCAGGTTCTAGATTTCTAAAGGAGCTTTCATAGCTGAAGGAAAGAGAGTCTGGGGAGGAAGAATAATAGGGAACTTTTAGAGTGAGAAGTGGTGATAGAGGAAGAAACAGGAGGAAGGAGGGATTAAGAGAGTAGAGGTGGGAGTCAGTTGAAGGGATTAGGTTGGTGTGCAGTTGGGTGTTCTGGAAGAAAGTGTAGGGGCATTGGGAAGTGTGAATTAGGAGAGGTAGTTTAGGAGGGATTTTAGTCACTCAAAACATGAGTAAAACCTTATAATATAAATCTTTCACTCTCCTATCTACATATTTTCCTACCTTAAGAACCCCCAAAACTCCAAAATACCCCTAAAAATACTAAAAACAACATCCCCCAAAACCCCCTCATCCCAACCCCCCACAATCCCCTTAACCCTACTCTCTAGCCTTCCATTCCAACCCCCATTCACCAATCTTTCACAAAATCCTTCAAGTAACCTCCCAAATCCCTCACCGTACAGAATCTGCATCTTTCCTCCAAAAAATACCTCATAAACTCCAGAACCAAAGTCAAAAATTACAGCTAAACTCTTTCACAGCCCAAGGCTAAACTCTATTTTAATTGGATCTTCAATTTCATCTTTGTAGGCTGGGGTTTTGGGGTTTTGGGGTTTTGGGGTTTTGGGG